CTTGCCCTTAAAACTTGCAAGAGCACCGCGTGGGTGCTGGTGTGCCCATACACGCAGGCGCCTATTTCAACAAAACTCTGTATTTACGACGTCATAAACTTTTTTTTTCGTTTTATTGACTGCGATGCTACGAGGAAGCCCGAATACCCGAAGTGAAGTCCAAAAAACCAAAAACAAAACAAAAACCAAACATGTGTACGTTATACGCTGTGTTCTGCGGTGCTTCAAAATTGCGAAACAGCTTTCGTTTTAGCCTTCCTTTTTTTAAGATAGTGACTGAAGAGGGCGTCTGTGAAGCACTTGTGCTGTATTCTCTATTAAAAAAATATTGCGATAGTTTTTGCTGCGAAGCTTCAAAACACGCTCCATCTTAAGCTATAAACAGGGGTACTGGGAAAAAGTGTACCCATGGCTTCATCTGTTGTTTAAAAGACGTACCAGTTCGCACATTACCTCACTTGTGATTGCGACATGCCCACGCATACGCAGACTTCACTGAAATTAGATTGTTCCCAATAAATCGTCATAAAGAAGTTACAGACAATGGCCTGCGTTATGTAACGAGACTTTCTTTTACATATCGGACTATTTCTTCTTCTTTAATGCTTTAATTTACTTGCTTTGTGGTGCAGTGCTCAGTAAAAGCCTTATCACCCAATTAATATTTACGGCTCCTAATTAACATCGGGGAAGAGCCATTTCAAATCGAGGGAGGGAAGACGTGTAAATTCAAGGGCTCACTTTCTTTGTCAGATGCAATATTAATGAGAACTTGCCGACAATGATGCAAAGGAGATTATAGCAAATTTTATTATAAATATTTGCATTGTAAAAGGAAAGAAACAAAAGATAACTTGTCAGCGGCAGGAATCGAACGTGCGACCTTCGAATAACGCGTCCGATGCTGTACACCTGAGCTACCGTGGCGGTCTACGGTGGCAGTTCTATGTTTAAATACCCATATATACCCTATGAAGTGGACGGATAGATGACCGCTACCGTATATATAAATATATATATAGCTCAGTGGTCGATCATAGAACGTGTTATTTGAAGGTTGCAGGATTGGTCCTTGCCACTGGCAAGTTATTTTTTCGTCCACATTTTTTTTTTCATTTTACAGTAACATTACTGTATAACATCCGCTATACTTTCCGTTATATTCTGCGAGTTCTCAATATTATTGTGTCTAACAACGAATGAAGTAACACTACAAATGGAAATGGCGATTGCGAAATGTACACTCTAAATATGAAGAGGCTAATAGAATCCCCTTTTTTATATACACTGCTTAGGAATAAGGGTCGAATTTTCATGATTATCTCGTGTGTAGCAATGGTCGTCACTCGCCGAGGTTTTTCAGTAAGGTATTTTGTTTTATGATTAGGTGGTTCGTGTTCTCGTTAGCCTCTTCGAACATGATTTCCTAATACACTTCCAAGGAAAGCGTGCTTCAATCCTCCTTCTCGGAAGCATAATTGCATAGCGTGGTTGTGTAAGGCTAACTGATAGCTTATCTTTATCATGCCATCATTCATGCCAACTGTTTTCCGTGTACCGATAATTGAAAGAAATATTTGAAAGAGAACGTCGCTTTTAAATTAAGCAACCTTTATTTTTACGAAAATTGCAGTGAGCTTTGCCGACCAACTGCTGCTGTTTTGCTCGAATAGCTGACGCACACATAATGAATAGGCTGGCAGACAACAAATACTATATAATTTTTGGGAGAATGCAGCTCCTGTATGGAAACTCAAAAAGAAAGCAAAAATACAAGCTTACGCAGGAACTCTTTGTAACACTTGCCAGGCCTGATGATGACGTAATAACGAAAACGTTTGGCCAATAGGAATGAGAATAAAAGGTTTTTCGTCGAGTGGTTCGACTGAAGTAGTGGTAACCAATTATAATAGTGTAATTATCGTTACCGAATGTGAACGTTAAAGTAAAATAGCTTTGGCGACCGCTTTGTGAGATTTGTTTTTGTGTGGGCACTTTTTAGACATTCATGCGTTCATGCGCGTATGGCTCTGCATAGCAATGTGCGTGACGACGACGGCCACAACACCGACGTTGACGGCAGTGGCAGTAACGGCGTCAGTAATGGCAGTGGCAGTAGTGGCAGTAACAACAACAACAACGTGACCTTTAAAGCATTCATTCATTCAGATTACATGAACACATGTCTACCCTTTTGTGTGTCAAATGCACTTGAACAATGACGCCCAAAGTTCTAGATGCAAAGCAGTTTTTTGACTAGCTTGTCTAATGCTGTTCCGTACGTCCATATGGACCCCCTCGCCACAGGTGTTGGAGCGGTTCTAAGTAGATCAAGTCACAGTTGCGCATTGACGTTACTCTCTCTGTCACTTTCAGCAGCTGCCGGCACCTCCGCCCACTCGCAGCACACTTCTCTCTCGCTTTGCCCTCTCCACCACCCGGAACACTCGACCACTCGTCGAGTGGAAACGGTCCTTCCACTTTTTAATCTGCGTTGAAACTTACACAAAGCCAACCCCCCCCCCCCCCCCCCTTCCTCCTCCGTGTCTTTGCGTTTCAAACAAACGTTTACTTGAGTAACTGCTATACCGAGTTTTGCTTCAAACCGTTCTTCCAGCTCCCCCACCGACACCCGTTTCAACCGAGTCAACGCCGTGCGCACTTCTGCGGGGAGATGATCCATAGGTTTTTCACAAGTTTGTTCCAACTTGGTAACATACCTTCTGTGCTCTTTGTACAGCAGCAGAAGGTACACGCTTCTGGCCAAACTCCGTGCATTTCCGAGTTGCTCTCTTGGGAATTTACATGTAATAGCAGGCTTCTTAAAATAGCGTTTTGAGAGAGACATTTTATCAAGACCGTAGAACTATCAGCCCATAGGAAAAAGTGTCATGTCTTGCTTTCTGCCTAGCGATCACAGATTCTCCAGTGTGCAGAAAGCCGCGTACAGAGCTAACAGAGGTATAGATTGACATTTTTCCTACTCCTTTCAGCACATATGCTGTTCGCTATCCAGCGCATGTTTTACCTCTTAAAGATCGCCGAGGCTTGTGAGCCAGCGAAAACGTTGATGCGTTACCACGCTGATGCTTTCCAATCCAACGTACACACAAATTCGTAGGCACGGACGGTTTGTTCTTTCGTGTGGATATCATCGCTTACAAACATGAACGTAAGGGCCATCCACAACACTTTACAAACTTACGAAGCAATTGTTTCGTTTGTCTTGGACGAGGAAAGAGGACAGTTGGTACAAACATCACGGATAGAATGCACAATAATGCAATAAACGGTCACAACGTCACTCGGCTGGGAAAAAGACGGTCACGTACTGCTTACTGATCTCACGCACTGGTGGTCCATCTCTCTTTTTGTTTTCACAATCTTTTTGTTTTCCGAAAATGCTGAACAGAAATAAAATACCTTCAGGGATTTGTTAGCGCGTGCTACCAGTATCAAACACAGCCTTGTAATGGATGTTAACTGAAAATACACGGACTGAAAATTGACTTCTCGAGAGCCGGCCCATTTGCATACGAAGGTGTTTCTTCATTGGTGTGTTCTTTCTTGTAACGGAGCTGCGTTCTCGGCATAAACACGCTGCATTGCCTCAAAGTGAAGCTTTTCTGTCAGTGTTTACGCAATGTAACGTGAAGTGCCAGTAAATACGTCAGTCCATGCTTAAAGTAATGCAGTTTTGCTGTGCGACGATTCTTGTTTGGGTGCTCTTTTGGCGAACAGAACCTGTAAGACTTTCTAAGGATTCACCGTCTCCGCCACTGCTGCCACTACTGCTGCTCCGTCGTCCTCCTCGTTGTTGAAAATAAGGCACAAGTGAAGCAGAGGATAACAAAGAATATTCATTGGATGCATGTGCCCTGGCAGACCAATGCTGAACTACTGCCTGCCGGGATGCACCAACGAGCCCACATTATCATACCTGTCGGTGCAAGACGATTTGGAAAAGAAATTACGATATTTAAAAATGGAGGTATAGCTTGAACAGCTCGCCTCTCTGTTGGTCATTCAGTGCTTTTTATGCCATACTTTACTGTCATCGCTTTCTATACGGGCATCAATTTTTTATTATTAGTGTAGGTGCTGAGCTATCTTTTTTTTAGTTCGATTGGTTTATGTGGTTGTTTCTTGCGAATGTTGATGCCCTAATCTGTATTTATGTCATTCCTTTTTCATTTATATTCTTTATCGCACTGTTGTATTTCGTAGGCTCTTTTTATTGTCTTTTCCAAGTGTTGATATCTTCATATTCATTTCTGCTCATCATTGTTCATATATTCTTGCCTGATATTGTTCCCTATGTATGTACAGTTTGTATTTTCACTGTTTCTTGCGTGATCGCGAAGATGTTTAATTTGATGCGTGCAATCCAACATGCTGCAGAAATGGCAAATGACCCGCACCGTATCCTTGTGCGTGTGCTAACAGAGTCTTTGCTTCCGAAGATGCTCATGGAGCATCTGAACAGTACCAAACTATTGCTGTGGTGTAAAGTGCATAATTATTTATTTATTTATTTTTATTTATTTAGAAAATGTCTTACAGGCCTTCGTTGAGGCATAGTGCAAAGGGGCAGTACAAAAAGTGCATTTAAGTGTCGTTCATAAAATACAATTGCGTGAACAGGATTCATGAACCAAATGACATAAATAGCAGTGCAATATAAAGTTGTGTCGGCAGTACTGGTATATATATATATATATATATATATATATATATATATATATATATATATATATATATATATATATATATATGGCGGGGTGGGATAATGGTGGAAGTTTGAGACAGGAGTTTGATACAGCGAAAGTGTTTCCCCCCCATCGCCGAAAAAAATTTCTGGCTAGAGCCTTGTCCTTCCGGGACCATTGGAAACAGCCATTCGATCGCGTCTCTTCAAGCTCAAATTTTTCGATTTGGCAATTTGGGCTTTCCTGCTTGCATTCTGCGTGAACTAAGTTCCGGGGCATCATCCATCTTGCCTCCTTGTGAGTGGCTCATCCCAAACACTTTCTTAGAAGGTAGAACGCTCTGACATAAACAAGCGAAAAAATCATATACGTACAAAACAAGCCTATGGCAGTGTCCTGAAGGCATGATGAGAACGCTTTTCACCAAGACCTCAATATTGAGCATAATAAAAAGCAAGATGGTGAAGTCTCGCAGGTCTGTGCTCAAGCATGACAGGACAGTTGTATATATATATATATATATATATATATATATATATATATATATATATATATATATATATATATATATATATATATATATATGAACGTCAGGGCCATCCACAACGTTTTACACACTTACGACGCATTAGCTTCGTTTGTCTTCGACAAGGAAAGAGGACAGTTGGTACAAACATCACGGATATAATGCAGAACATCACAGATGAATATATATATATATATATATATATAAAGGCAAAAATGAAGAGAGTAGCAGTGAGAACGCAGATAGATCCTCAGAAGAGTGTGTGGTGTGCACTTTTTTATTCCAGGATTATTGTAGAAATATACACTACGTAGTTTGTTTCCCTTTTCGACGCACGTGAGGTGAATTGGAATGAGGATGAATAAGACGATCGCCTTGAGTGCTCGCTTCGAGCTCTAGATGTTGACGGAAACTATGGGAAAAAGTACACGCTTTCTTTTTACGTGACGTCATCTCTCATGAGTGCAGCTCTATTCTCATTGGCTCTCGATACAAGAAGACGGCCTTTCAAAATCACTTAGTGAGTCTACTCCGTGAGATATGCACTCTGAAGAAGATGGCGTACGGTTACGATGGATTGGAGATAAAGGCCTACCGCTCGTGCGAGCCTACTGTGCACGTGCTTTTTCACTTGGAGATCACCTCGGGGAAGGGGGCAGCATTTAAGTCGGCGCGATTCCAGGGCATCTGCCATTTTTTTTTTTTCGGCGATCACTACATCCGCGTCCTCGTCGATGGCAAAGCGCCGAAGCTAAATTGCGCTCCTTTGTCGATAACCTGACAGAACACTATTTTGCGGAGTTGATGAGTTAGAGAAATTCACCTGAAATTTCGAAAATAAATCTTTTTCACCGAAATGGCGGAATAGTGTGAATGCGATAACAACGTGTCGTAATGTTACACGAAGCAAGACCACCAGCTGAACCCTTTTGATGCGACCTCGCGAAACTGTAATGCCGGTGTGTATGGGAATAAGGCTTCTCCCCGGAGAGAAGTGGTTTTCTCGATGTTTGTCACATCAGCGTTCGCAGCACGAAGCAGCGAAGTTACAGCAGGCGAAATCGTATACGAGACGTTTGCTGATGTGTGCTGGCATTGCGTTCATTCCAACACTCGTGACCGCGTGCCTAACAGTCTACAGATTCTTCTCTAGCCACGTAGCACAAACCAGATATATTTGCCAAGAACTTGCATGGAAGAGGTGGCAGATGGGGGAAAGGTCAAGGGCCTTCCTTACATACTTCGCAACGCTGATCATCAACTATTAAAATGGTGTATGGAAGACACCGCTGGAATGCGCTTGACTATAACGTGAGAATTGAACGTGAAACCAGGTAAGGCTGATAGTGATGCTGAAACTGAGTAGATATGACTATTGGTCGGCATAAATATGTGTAAATCGCTAAAAAATATATATCTTACGCTTTGGGCTCACTCAGCCTCAGTCTCACCAAAATGTGACTGATCCGAAATAATTCTGACTCACACTGATGAGAATTTTCATCAACCAGACTCACTACATAGTACTCAAAATCGCCAAAATTTTACTCGCCCGAACTCACTCAGGCTAAGAATCGCGTCTCGATCTGTGTCTATGTGAGTCCTAGTGAGCCATGTTCTGAGTGATTTCACCGACCACAATTGGTATTAACCACAATTGTCCCCAATCAGCGGGTTCAGCACAAGCGGTGAGGGTTCGGTTACGTAACAGCTGGTGGAGAGTGTACGCTGGCGGCAAGCGTGCAAAATGACAGGCTGGATGCTAAGTTGCATGGTTTTTTGTTTCACCTGGCTTGCAGCCGTCGTCAAAAATGGCCGATTACTACCAGCGATTCTATACCAGGTCTTAGTGTCATGCTAGTTAAACGGAACCAATTGCAGTGCAGTTGCGCTGAGCGAAACGTACAAAGCAGTAACAATGCAAGAGGTCAGAACAGGGGTGTGCGCAAACTTTCAATAGTTGAAAATTCGCGCTCCACCTGTCCGGTCTTCTAGTTCAGTCACTCTATCGTACATTTAGCAGAGCGCAACTACAATACAATGCCGTACCAACTAGCCCAAATCTAAAGCCTTACCAACTAAACGAAGTTGTTACTCACCATCAGTCCGAGTGAGTCGGCGTAGTCCTCTCCCTCGGTGGGCCAGGGACCTCCGGCCGGCACGTGGTACGCGGAGCGCAGACACCGCTTTCGGTCCTCCAGGCGACTCTGCGTGGGAACTGAGTACCAGGAGCGGTAGAGGCCGTCCGCGTCAGCTGGCGCACCTTCCACGTCGAAAGCATGGCTCTCTTCGTGGGCGAGCACGTGACCCAGGCCCCCGTACGACGCCGCAGGGTACTGCGATGTCTGCGACGAGAGTAAAAAACGACATGCGCTGATGCATGCGCCTATTTGTCATGACTGAATGCGCCGAACAATTGGTCTATACCGTGTAGATCTGCCATAACTCTATGTATGTACACCAAACTGCAGGAAGGTAATAATATCTGGGGTTTAACGACCCGAAACCTCAATAGAATTATGAGAAATGTCGTATAGTGGAGGGCTCCGGAAATTTCGACCACATGTGGTTCTTTAACGTGCACCTATAAGTACGCGGTTGTCGTTCCTTTTCGCCTCCATCAAAGATGCAGGTGCCGCAGCCTGGATTCGAGCCCGCGACCTTTGTGAAAACTGCATAAAGGTACCTCAACGCAATACTTACGGAACATCGGTATCATTGTGAGAGAGAGAGAAAGAAAAAAAATCTGGACATCTTGTGTTTCACCACTGCAATGACTGCGGCTGTTCACCCGAATTAGACGAATTGAAGGTGGTGCTTGGGATGTAAAAACAGCGCAAAAAATATACACAAGGACAGAAGAAGAGACGACATCCCAAGCATGGACCACCAACTAGCCCAACGTTCGCTATTATTGAAGGTGGTGCGCCGGGAAAAAAAAGGAAAACTAACCCGATAAATAATGAAAGCAATCGTAAAAAAAAAAAAAACATGAATGGGGCACGTGCAAGAGTTGCCTTTGATTGAATTTTTCATACAAATGGAGCAAACTTGTACTTTTTTGATGGCCTGAAAGTTACCAAGTCTTAATTTGTTATACATGAAACAGTTTCCATGGGAATCTTTTCGTTTGTGTTCTTTATACAAGCCTGTCGAAGTTATCCCACTTGGTCTCCTCATATACGGTGGCATGATCGAATTTTAACCTTATGTTTCTTACGGAACCCCATTTTCTGCACAGTGCATGACTTGTCATTAGCTGCACTTATAAGCATGCCTTGCGCAATAACGAAAATATCGCGGAACTGTACAGAACCTGCAATGTGCGTTTGTTCGTCCCTATTTGCTAAGTTTGTGCTGCTGTTTTCTACGTTAAACTTGGAACTTCTTGCTTGTAATCCAGTGAACCAATCGCGTCAGCAAACCATTCTGTGCGTACGGGCTACCACACTGCAAATATGTATTTACTTAGTACCCAGAAAAACACTCCTTCATATTGGAGCAACGAAAAAGAATGTTATTTTTTTGTAAGTATTGATAGCTACTAGGCATGACAGGTGTTGATATATCCTTTAAAGGAAAGCCATTATCAGACAGTGTGGACAGCAAATAACGAGTTAAGTTTTATTTTCTCCATACGAATCATAACTAGATGAACTATGTCTTTCTCGTATTCGGTGGTAAAAAAGGTTATTTTCCGTATTGAACTTAGAAAATTTTAGTTAAAGTAATTTAAAAATAAAAGAAACACAAGAGGTGCTAGTCTGCGTGACACAATAGAGCCACCATGTTGTGCTTCAGATGTGCTAAATTACTTTCGATAGAATGTTGGAGTGCCGGTGTTTACCCATGGCTACACAGTCTACTTCCACCACTGTGCCTGCATTTGGCGCTGTAAAAATGTTAGACATGTCCCTTACGGAAACGTCATATATGGCCCATATATAAGTTATATCTGGGCATATATAAGCATATATGGCAGCATATGTGGCCACATATAGGCATATATGGCAGCATATGTGGCCACATATAAGCATATATAGCAGCATATGTGGCCAGATTTAAGCATATATGGATGTATATCTGGCGGAGTCGGTTCATGTATGGGGTTATATACGGCCATATATGACGCGGTTGGCCCCTATAAGGAGTCAAATCCGGCCAAATAAGGCACGGCCACACCATATATAACATATCAAGTGGGTCCTTATACGTGGAAGTGCTCTCTTATTTGGGATGAACCACGTATATATTTAGCACCGTGATCACACTTTTATGCGAATTGTAATATATAACAATTTCTACACAAAGCTGACCTGCTTATTTTTCATAACAATAGGAGTATTAAATATATATGTTGTTTCTGCCATGCAAAAAAACCGAAATTTCAGGTCAGCTTTGTGTTCGTGATAGTTGCAACTCAGTTGAATGCATATATGCATGCATTCGTGTAATCTAACTCGTACATTTTTCATGGCATTTAGGTTTGAAACAATAAGTTGCAATTAATACGACGTAAATAATGTATACAAGAGTAGACATGTTTTACGAGGAAGGAATCGTGTCAAGTCACAAAACGTATTGAAGCTTCCGAACCTCGCTATTATTATAGAGCAATCCTATATAGTATTATGTAAAGACAAAATGCATGCAAGTTATATTGTTCACATTAATGCATTGTTTAAAGTGGCAGCAAGAAATAGTAATTTCAATGCACTTTTAGCTTCCACATCGGTGGACAAAATTTCTGATTATTTGAAAGTTTTGATGGCTATATGCTCCCTTCATATAACAAGATTTCTATTAATCCTGTTGACCCCTCATCTGCGATTGCTTTCAGCAGCCATTTACTAAAATTGCATGCGCAGTGCAATGTTTAAGGGAGTATTTTCAAAAACAAAAAGAACTTACGTGAATGCAACTTGGAGGCACTATTATGATTACAATCAAGATGGAAGTTGTACTAATTTATTGCAAAATACATCTTGCGTTTCCTTTGGCTACGTATAATGTTCCTGGCTGTGCACATAGTAAATTTATCAAAAAATTTATGATTGCACAAGTGAACAATTAATTTATTGTAATGTTTTCAAGCGTCAAATAAATCTCACGTCATAGACATGTACGTTAAGAAAGGTGCAACTGACTCACACGTGATACATATTTAATGGACCATGTAATGAAATGCTGAAGCTTTATAGCAACATTTAACGTAGGCTGCCGAATTCACAAAACTTCTATTTTGTGTCGGTGTGTCATTACTTGGTCGAGGTCACTAAAGCGCACGTGCCATCATCATGATTAGCCTAAACATTGCCTTGTGAATACAATTAGTATGACACATTTTTTTTGCGGGCTGGCGTGATACCTAAGCCAAACTCTACATTATGTAAACAGCCCTTTGCTGTGCAGGCGCGTAACGATTCAAACTGCTTGCGAACATATCCTTTCAACACCAACACGGTAGTGCACTTACTTATAAGATATGTATGCCGGTACATACTCACCAAACTGCGCAAGTGCACACTCGCGTATAGAGATTCATGGGCACCAGGACACTGGCATTTCATTCAATGTGGCTAGATATTTTCGGCCATGTCAGAATGATATGAGTGTATTATTATTATTATTATTATTATTATTATTAATGTTGTTGTTGTTGTTGTATTTCGCAAAACGTCCAACAGCAAATCCATATGCTGTCATACTGTGTCGTTATGTAAGTTTTATGAGATCAGTTATCTTGGTGTTCTTTGTGATAGCATGCTGAATTTTTTCTACTTGCATTAAATGTGCTGCCATGCGAGGCCTTCATTCTCTTCCTGTTGGCTCGACATCTCGCGAGAATCCGGTTCTCCTACAGCCTTCTACTAATGGTACACCGTGATATGTCGTGCTCAACTTGAGTACATATGCATATCTGATTTGGAATGGCCTTGCTAAATCCAGCAGTAGCGCCACTGAGTGAGTCCAGAAAAATTTCATAAGCATTTACCCCCATCGTTTCACTATAATCCTTTCAACACTGCTGGAATATTATATTTGCCACCAGTTAATGACCGGCAGAATCGCGCTGAGCTGTTATTTATTTACAAGCTAGTTCAGGGTGAGATATTCTGCCCTTCTCGGTTGTAATAATTTTCAAACTTTGCGTAAGTTATCGAGAGAGAATCGACCGTACCTACCAGCTTCTTTCAACACTCTATCCTTTACAGAATACCGAGTCTCTAACGTCAACTTTCTTGATTCGTTACGTTTTTCATAGTCTACAGTCATTTTGTTTTGTCAGTGAGGGCTGCCCTGTCCTAACGTAGATTTGCTTATGCACAGATTCTTTCCTTTTCCGTCTTTCAGGAAGCCTTCGGCACGGTTGTGTATATTCCACATTATTTTTCAGTCCCATTCCATGAATATCTACTCTTTTTTTTGTTGTCCCATTGTGCATTGATTTTTTTCGACAGCTCGTTTTTGCTCTCTTCATTGATTTGCTTTTCTGTGGACAGTCTGTAATGTGTTGTTTATTATTGTTTTATTTTTGCGCGCGCCAGCGTTAAAAACCCTGGGGTTGTTCTTGGATACGTTAAAAATGATTTATTGATTATTGGTTGATTGAATAATATTGTTATCATTATAAGTCCTTGCGAAATAAGATGAAAATTTGGCTGAAACGCGTCTTCGTAGCCAGAGTACACGAAGCAGTGATTTCAGCTCCACGGAGTGCCTGTCTCAAAGGTCCTCCACGTGCAGCTTTTTCGGCTCGCGGGAGCAAGTTGAAATCCATTGTTCGAAAAAACTCGCCTGACTGCATTGGTTGCAAGGGGTGCGCACAGTAAAAAAAATACAAAAAAGGGCGCCCATCGGATGGGTGGACAATTCGGAGAACGTAGTTCGAAGAAGCGCACGTGTGCCCTGCAGCCCTGCCGTGGCTTACACCAGTCTGTCCACACAGCAAGAAAGAGAGTGCCGCGGCCCATTTCAAGTAACGACGAAAAAAATAGTTTGCACAAACATTCAGTCGTATGGTAATAACATTGCGTCAATAATTGTTAAAAAATGAAACGTCGTTCGCCAATAAGCTCAGGAAAATTTAGTTCTAGTGAAAAGTGCGTAAACCATTGATCTCAAGGAGTAATGTAATGTTCATTGTAATGTGCATGGCATGCACTGTATCCATCCGCGCCATTGTTGCTTTTTTGCTCGCCGGAGTCATGGGTGCCATGCTGATCGAGTTTGTTAATTTTCATTCCTTCTGCTCTATATTTCGTGTTCAACTACTGCTCCAATTTACACAAGATAATCGCGCAGCTCTCAGGAATCTACTTCGCTGTACGTGGCGAAATTGTGG